CAAATAATATTGTTGCCAAACTTAATGACTTCAAATTTGGAGGGTATTCATCACCCATCTGTCTGCTGTAGGAGACCCAGACTGGTTGTGGAGGAAAATCTTGACCTTATTTTAGAGTGTGAATTTAGCCCATATTCCCAGGGAAATGTCCTATTGAGTTGCTTTTTTTTTTTTTTTTTTAAATAGGCGAATGTCAACCTTACCTGTGCTTAGGAGTCTGACAAAGTAAATAAATCTGTAAACATGAACTAATGGAAAGATATCTCAAGTTTGTTCTTTGTCCTTTGGCAAAGAACTTTACTTTGAACTTTACACTATTCAGTTATTATTGAATGTTCAGTTGCAGAGACACTGGATTAAAGCTGGGGAAGAAGAAAAGGACCCTGATATTTTCACTTCCAGTTTGTCATTGAAAGAGCCAGAAGATACAGAATATGAATAAATAAACAAACAATAGCAATCTGAAGTAGGGATAAGAATAATCCAATAGAACCTAATTCTGGTGGGATTTCTGCAAATTTTAATGTTGATGAAGACAACATAAGAAATACATTCTTGGACACATGGTCCAGTCTCTAAGTCTGGGGAGTCCTCTACTCCAGGTGGGTGGCCCCAAATAAGGCAAGAATATGACGTCCTTTGCCGCCCTCTCACTCTGGCAGCCTTTTCCCAATTGCCTGGACCCCGCCAGCACTATTTCTCAAACAGCTGCCTACTTTCTATATCCAGAGGCTGCCGTCTGCATGGGGATGCGAGGAATGCTCCTCAGGGAGGGTCCTTAAACTAGGTGTGGGAGCAGGATGCTCAGGATTTTAAAGGGTCTCGCTTACCTGGTGCACACCAAGAGCAGCTACAGACTGTGTCAGAGTCTGCAGCACTGTAGGGCAACCAGCAGGCGGAGGAAGAGCTCTCACCCCTTCCACAGACCCTGAGAACAACGCCTGCTGGGTTTCAGAGGGTGGGAAGGGTGGATGTGAAAACCTGCTATCCGGGCACAGACCTAATAGAGAGGACTGGAAGTTCTCAGTCCACAGCATGGTGGCTGAGGACAGTTCAGCTACACTGTCTTTGGCAAATTGTAGGTGTGGGTAGACTTCTGTCCTTTGACATATAATCAGGGAGAAAACCCATCACAAGGCTCGTTAAGAAAGACTGTGATGCACAATGCATGAAGGGACGGAAGCAAGGGCAAGAATACGGAGAGGAAGAGCTTGCCTTTGAAAGCGATTTTCTACAGAAAATACAAGAGAAATATAAAACACGTGGTATGTGCTCCCAACAAGATGCAGAGAGGATGAAAAGCAAGGTGTAGTAGGATATGTGGAGGCAATCAAGTAAGTCATATGATCTGTAGACTTAACAAACACAGGCTGCCTTTCCTGCCAGGACTATGCCACCATTCATACCCCTGGGCCTTTGCACACACTGTCCCTCCGTCAGCTTTGCCTGCCTTCCCGTCTAGGCCTGGCAAAGTCCCATTCTCGGCACCTGCCTCAGCCCACACCCCCTCATCTGACCCCACTGCAGCTGCCGCGGCACCTCATCACTGCATTCTCTACACGTCGACACAATGGTCCTCGTGCTCCAGGACTGGAGACTTCAAATAGAGTATAAGAATTTATAATAGAGTACCTGAGTTCTCAGTGACAGGGCTTAGATTTCATTTATCTCTAGAGCCCCTACCCACCATAGTTTCCGATGTACAGTTAAGACTAATAAATAAATGAGAGCCCCAGAAAGATAAGAAGAGATGACAACCCCTTTTCACTACAAGGACTTCAGTAGTTGCCCAAAGGACAAAGACACAGATGAAGGGGAATGAGGAAGTGAGAAGAACTGGTGCCTATCGAGAACCTGCTGTGCTCAGAGCATTAAAGCCCCGATTATTGGAGCATTGACAACTTGGTCCTTCTTTTCAAAGAATTACAAGTTTATTACACATTTAGTGTATTGTCACTAACTAACTCAGTGACTTTTGGGACATGATATAATGGCTCTAGACAGCAACTTTTCATAAGAGATTAGTACAGCACCAGCCACCCTCAATTTAAAAGCAGATATCCAAAGTTTATTGACAAATCGATTTGGGGAAACGTAATAGCATTCCCCCTTAGAAACAGCGTGTTTAAGTCCCCAGACCAGACTGCAAAGGCTTATTAAACCCAGAAGGTTTTGAGATTATGCCAATAACTGAACTGGGTTGCAAAAAATATAAACTAGGTGTGGTTCTGCTCCATCACCCTATAGCCAAGTGATCGCTTAACCAAAGTGATGGTTTCCACCTGTCTCACAGGTGTGCTGGGCATAGACTAGGGTAATGCAAGAGGAACTACTCTGAAAAGTGTGCCATGCTGTCAGACAACAGGGCCACTCAGTCTGACAACTGTAAAACCTACTGGCACATTAAAATACAGTTTTGCAGGAAAGTGCATGCTCCCTTCCACCCCAGGACTACTCCAACGGCTCATTTTCTGTTCTGTTCTGTTCTTTTGTTTTTTTTTTTTAGAGATGAGGGTCTTGCTCTGTCGTCCAGACTGGAGTGCAGTGGCCTATCATAGCTCACTGCAGCCTCGAACTCCTGGGCTCAAGTGATCCTCCTGCCTCAGCCTCCTGCATAGCTGGGATTACAGATGTGCCACCACACCTGGCTATTTTTTTTATTTTTTATAGAAATGGGGTCTCACTATGTCGCCCAGGCTGGTCTTGAACTCCTGGGCTCAAGTGATCCTCTTGCTTCGGCCTCCTGAAGTGCTGGGATTACTGGTGTGAGTCAAGGGCTCATTGTCAATGTGGCAGCGGGAGCCCTCTCCCTGTCCCGGCATCACACGGACTTTGCGACTGGGCTCTCACATGCTCGTCTGTGGGATGTACATTCAAGTGTCAACCCAAGTGTCCACTGATTTATGAGAGAAAGTCGTTAAGGAGATATAATCAGGACAATGGCCACATGTCAAGATATTTCAAGATGTGTGCGTTTGAAGTATGAGCGCTACAGGAGCAGTCGTAGAATGACAAAGATGAGGTCAGGGCTGAAACAGAATCGGTACAACCTCCTGAACCTTTATGTTGATAGTACGATGGGAGCACCTCGCTGCCTTTCTCAGATGTAACCCCTTGTTTCTGGCCACGGCAGCCCCTGGAAAGCGTATGCTTGTTGACAGTGTATCCCACTGTGGAGGCCGTTTTCTGGGTAGTTGGAGTCTTGCTTCATTTGAAGGTTACATTGCACATCACTGTGATGATGTCTGTCGCACTTTGCATTGATCTGACAGCAGGTAAACTTCTGGAGTCTCCGGTGGGCTGAGTTCAGAGAAGCCAAATGCTCTAGGGAGCGTTCTTTAAATAAAAAGTGCTTCAGATAAGAATTTGTGTGAATTCCAGGGCTGGCCAGCACTCACCCACTATATCACTCTTGAACAGAAGGTGAGGAACTCTTCTCTCCCTCACCTGAGCCAGCAGGCCGGCCCCTTCAATGGGAAGGCCCACCCTTGCTAAGGCATTGATGTGTCTGGCAAGCACTACCTCTTCAGTGGCCTGTTGTCGCTGGCCGAGGCTTGACCTGCATGCAGAAGACTTTTCCTGAATCAGCTTCATTCCACTTTCTGCCTCCTTCCCTGTGTCGTGTGTTCGAGGCCTTCCTGCTTTGACCATCTGGCTTACGGCTCAATTTTTTTTCAGCCTTAGTTTAGCTGTCCTCCAGACTTATGATTGGTTAACATGTATCAGGACCTGTTGGCTTTCCGGGATACCCTCTTTTGAGGACTGCCCATATAAATGGGCCTGGAAGAGGGGGCCTGGTACTCTGACCACACTTCCCCAGATCCCATGCTTAAATTCCTGTCCCAAGCAGGAAAGTGACAGACAGCATGTTGTCATCTGCATGGCCAGTGTAGGGAAAAATGACAGAGCCATCAAAGGTACACGTGGCCCTCCCTCTCCTCTCGCTGTAGCCTCCCATCCTGCCAGACCCCTTGGGACGGAGGAGCCAGGCTTTGGGCCCTGTGGCCTCTTCTCTTACTGCTCACTGCCAAGGCCTCAGTCAGTCATCATTAGGATGCTGCAGCAATGATTTACAAAATGGCAAAACAGAATTTGTTTTTTTTTTGGAGTCACAGTCCTTTCTGAATCACCCATATTTCATTTCAAATACTTTTGGTTTTTTTACATAGAAAAAAATGAATCTTTTTTACTTCTAGTAGCATGACTAAGTCCTCACTAATTTTTGTCCTGCTTCCCCGAGATGGTCATTTTTAATTTATGTGAAAAGGAAAAGGAATGCCCTTTCTAAGTAGATTTCAGTCTAATGAGATGTACTGAGAACTAAGTAAGAAGCATTGCAAAGATACAAATTACGTTGCAATTTAGGAAAAGACGGTAAGTATTACCATAGAGGTGAGCAAATCCATAAAGTAGGAAAAAAAAGATGCGACTTAAATTTTGAGTCTGCAACTAGCTGACTGTGTGCCCTGAGATGCATACCTAGGCTCTTTGGGCACAGTGCCCTCGGTTATACACCAAAAACAAGGACCAAAGGGTCTAGTCCTTCTAGGCCTCCCATTTTATAATTCCGTGATTAAAATCCATCTGAGACAATAAATTCTACTCTATCAATTTATTTATAAGCCTGAAAAGAAATTAAAACATAAGAAAATATAAATATTTAAAACCAAGAAATTAAAGAAATGTGCTCTAAAGAAGGACATATTCACTAGCAGTAACCATATCTCTATTAGAAACATTTGGCTGTCTAGGGAAAGTAGTGAAGTTTGGCATTTTTCTCGCACAAACAGGTGGCATGCACTTTTGACGAGTTTGGCTTTGGATCTCATTCCCCTTCCCTATTTTGAGGTGTGTCTGTCTGTTCATAATGCATCTGTCAATACATCTCCATATGTGTGTAGGAACGTGTGCACACACACTCACAAAAACCCAAGAACAAACTAAGAAAGTGAAGAAGCACCAGAGTTAGGTCAGACCAAACAGGAAGACACGAGACTTACGGGAGCTGCCGAGTTCTTGACCGTGACACTGGGGGTGGTAGCTCGCAGGGCTCCACTCGCTCCGTGGTAGTATTTGAAGCAGATCTTAGTTTCAGCTGAAAGATAAAAATAAAATGGGACTGAAAGGTAGAGTATAACCCAGGAGGAGACAGCCATGACCAGAGAGGACCTCTCTAGGACCTGCACCTAATTCCTGCCCTGACCCAGCCAGGCTACATCTAACAATGATGGTCTGACTTCTTTCTAAAAATGTGTCACAAAAAATCGTTTTGGCTTTAACATTTTTGTACTCAAGTTAAATCTATTATTTAGACTTCTCAGCATCTTTCCTATCCCATTAGAGGTTTTAAACCTTTAGTTCTTTCCTTTTTTAGGGGGGGGACAGTCTCACTCTGTTGCTCTGGGTAGAGTGCTGTGGCATCAGCCTAGCTCACAGCAACCTCCAACTCCTGGGCTCAAGTGATCCTCCTGCCTCAGCCTCCTGAGTAGCTGGGACTATAGGCGCTTGCCACCACACCCGGCTAATTTTTTCTATTTTTAGTAGAGACGGGGTCCCATTCTTGCTCAGGCTGGTCTCAAACTCCTGTGCTCAAGCTATCCACCCACCTCAGTCTTCCAGAGTGCTAGTAATATAGGTGTGAGCCACCACGCCTGGCTAAACCCTTAGTTCTAAGATTTGAGGTATTTGGATGCCTCCCACTAGCCTATTTTTTCTGTAATTTCCTATTATTTAATTCATTGCAATTAATATCTTGGTAATTTGAAGGAAGACTTTAAGAAGCTATTGAAATATATGGATGGATGGCATGTTTTCTAAGCTCCTGAACAATCAATGATAACCTCTTTGCATCATAACTTGTTTTCCTTCAGAGTTCTATAGATGGTTAAGCAAAAAAGATACGGTTTGGGGGGATCACTGTGCCTGGGTTTGAATTTTAGTTCCATTACTCACAATCTGTGAGACAATGAGCAAGTCACCTAACCTCCCTGTACCCATGCTGAAATAGGACTTCCAATAACACCACCTCATAAGATGTTGGGTAAGCAAATGAAAGTACTTAGAGTTCAGTTCGGTGCTCAGTAAATGTTAGTGATGATGGTGATATGATGACTAATCGACAGTGACGTGACTCCATTGCCCTGTGGCATTTGGTTCTGTGGAAGACGAAATCTTCAGCCAACCTGAGTTCAGTTTATTTAAAAGGCGACCTGCTTTTCCCAATTCGCTGTTTATAGAATTTTTTTTTTCTTAAAATTTGAAAAATTTACCAGGCTATGTTTTGGTCCCTTGTATTAATTTTGTTTGGAACAATATGAGAAATCTCCAGTTTGAGATCCTTTTTCTCAAATATGGAAATTTGTCTTCAATTATTATATTTAAAAAAATAATGTCTATAATTTTCTTAGCATGCACTTAAAATATGCTCACTATGGAAAATATGGAAAATGAAGAAACGTATAAATAAAGGGGAAGTTCGAGACTAGAGACACTGGTCACCAGATCTCCACAGAAAGAAGAAAAAGTTGCAGGTGAGAAAGCATAGCCCAGGTGGAATGTTGAGGGAAGAGTGCCGGGACCTAACAGAGATCCCACAGGAAGAAGTTGTGGAGCAGAACAAGAAGGAGCAAGATTTTGGCAGAGATCGATCCCCTAGGAATCTGGAGTCTCACAGAAAGGGTAGGTAGGGGTGTTTATTCTTCCTCCCCTCACATCAATGGCAGACTGCTGGATCCCAAACTCTCAGCCCCTGTACCCTCATGCGGCCGTGAGCCGCTGCCCTTGGCTAACTGGGAACTTAAGGGCAGAGCACAAGGCTGCTAACCTGAGTAGGGTCACTTGCTCCGCCACAGACCTTAGCCAAGGCGCAGGCACCATACCACTTGTGCACCCATTGTTTGCCTCTGCCCTGCCCAGGGAGTCTCAGGTCTCTTGTCTCGGGGGCACTGAATCCCACACAAACATTCCCCAGCGCCCAGGAGAGCTGCAAGATTCCTGAAGTTCGGACCTGTAGAATGGGCTGCCCATAGGGAATAGGAAATTGGCGTGAGCACAATACTCCTTGGCACAAAGGAAATTGGAGCCTCCGGCTTGTGATCTGAAGTTGTCTGCACCCCTCCCAGTGGAGATGCAGGTGAAGAGCAGAGTCCATATGGTAGGAGAGTGTCCCCATCCTAGAGCGCAAGCAACATCAAAGCCCAGGAAAGGAGGTGGAGATGGGGCTTCTCCTATCCCCACCACCCACTGCTGTGGACATAGCCGCGTCTGCTCTCACAAGGGTTTGGCGTGGGCGCACCACCAGATGGCCGGTCCTGGGCTTGTAGGGGGACTGCACTGCCTTTAATGCTGTGCTCACTGTGCCTGGGTTTTGCATGAAGGGTGCAGTTCGTTTCCCTCCCTTCACCGAGAGGGAGTGTTTTTGTAGTTGCCTGACCAGGGAGTCTCAGCCCGTGGGTCTCCGCACTGCTGGATCCGCAGGCAAGGTTCTCCAGCACCCACTTGGACGGCAGCAGCCTCAAGGGGCTGGCGGGTCCCAGGGGAACTGTGGGATTCCCAGAGTTTGGACATGGTGGGCTGCCCCCAGGTAAAAAGAGACTGCAGCATGCCAGGGGAGCCCCTTGGCACAACGGGGACCAGAGCACCAGCTCTGCCTCCACTCGCAATCTTCTCCTCCTCTTCCCCTCTCCCGCGCACCACTGCTGATGCAGCCATGGCTGATTTCATGGGGGGCTGGCGTGGGTGCACCAGGGGACAATCAATCCAGGGGTTTAGGAGCAGCTGTCCCCCCTGACCCTTCTGTTGGCGCACCCACCACAACCAGGCACCTTTCCCTTTAAAAAGCCACAGCTTCCTGCAGTGGAATACAGGCAAGCCAAAAGCTGCCCGTTTTGGCCTGAGGGAAGTTTTGCCCAGAGGCCATCTGGGTGGAGATCTACAGGTCAGGTGCTTTCCGTGGCCTTCAGCTACATTATGGCCCGGAGGAAAGAGCGGCTGTCTGAACTGAAAGGCTGGAATGGTAGTGTGACAGGGAGAGAGCACATCTGCCTAGCCAGCCTCCCAAGCTGGTTCACTCCCCGCCCTCCGTCCTCCCACCTCCACAGAGACTGCTGCGAATCCTCCCGCCACCCTCATCAGGGTTGGTACTTCCGCCCTTCTGCAGCGTGTCCAGGCCAGCTCCACCCTTATCTCTTCCCCCTCCTCCACTGGGCTGAGCAGGGACACCAGGAATCCCACAGACCACCCCACCAACGGAGACTAAGCACACACCCCTTGTAAGAGCCGCTGCTCTTACACATAAGCACCACCTACTGGCTTGGTGGTGGAAATACAACCTAGTACTTTGCTACAACAAGCCTCTGAGAAAGATGCTGGACAAAGACCATTAATAACCAAAGAATACAAACAGAGCTTCATCTCCCTAAAAGTACCCCCAGTAAAAGCTAAATGAAAAAGCACAGCATACATTTCAGGCACACACTCAAGGGGAGAGGATAAAAAATAATAAATAAACAAAATAAAATAAAAAATTCCACCCCAATGAAAGTAAAGTAAAAAATAAGAAGAAATAGCTTCTCCAAACAAGAAGGAACCAGTATAAGAACTCTGTCCATACGAACAGACTGTTTTGACACCCCAAAGGATCACATTACCTCTCCAGGTATGTGGATCCCAATGGATCCCAATCAGAAGGAAAATGTTAAAATGACGGATAAAGAATTCAGAGCATGGATTGTAAGGAAGCTCAATAAAATCCAAGAGAAAGCTGACCAAAACAAAGAAACTGAAAAAAAAAAAATCCAGGACATGAATGAAAAATGTACTAAAGAGATAGACATATTTAAAAAAACAGAATTCCTGAAAATGACATTGATGGATTTACAAAATGCAATTGAAAGCTCAAACAATAGAATAAAATTTCAGAGCTTGAAGACAGGTCTTTTGAATTAACCCAGTCAGACCAAAAAAAAAAAAAAAAAAAAAGAATTAAAAGATCAAAATCTTTGAGAAATAGGAGATTATGTAAAATGCCCAAACCTAAGAATCATAGGTATTCCTGAGGGAGAAAAAGAAAAAGAAAAAAGTTTAGAAAACCTATGTGAGGGCATAATTGAGGAAAACTTCCCTGGTCTTGCTAGAGATTTAGACACCTGGATACAAAAATCTCAAAGAGCACCTGGGAGATTCATTCCAAAAAGGACATCACCAAGGCATATAGTCATCGGGCTATCTAAAGTCAATGTGAAGGAAAGAGTTCTAAGGGCAATGTCGAGACAAAAATATTAAATAACTTATAAAGAAAACCTATCAGACTAACAGCTGAGGTCTCAGCTAAAGCTTTACAATACAGAAGGGACTGGGGTTCTATCTTTAGTCTTCTTAAACAGAATAATTGTCAGCTAAGAATTATGTATCATACAAAACTAAGTTTTGTAAATGAAGGAGAAGTAAAGTTTTTCCCAGACAAGCAAACACTGAGGGAATTTGTCCTCACTAGACTGGCCCTACAAGAAATGCTTAAAGGAATCCTAAACATCAAAAAAGTATAAAACAAAAACTAAAACAAATAAATGGGACTTAATTAAACCAAAAAGCTTCTGCACAGCAAAAGAAACAATCAACAGAGTAAATAGACAACCTACAGAATGGGAAAAAATATGCACAAATTATACATCTGACAAAGGCCTAATATCCAGAATCTATAAGGAACTCAAACAAATCAGCAGGAAACAAAAAGCAATCCTATTAAAAAGTGGGTAAATGACATGAATAGACATTTTTCAAAAGAAGATATACAAATGGCCAAAAACATGAAAAAAATGCTCATCATCACTAATCATCAAGGAAATGTAAATTAAAACTGTGATTAGATACCATCTTACTCCGAGTAGAATGGCCATTATTAAAAAGTCTAAAAACCATAGATGTTGTCACAGACGCAGGCAAGAGGGAACGTTTATACACTGTTGGTGGGAATGTAAATTAGTATAACCTCTGTGGAAGATGGTATGGAAATCTCTCAAAGAACTAAAAGTAGATCTACTATTCAATCCAGCAATCCCATTACTGGTATCTGCCCAAAGGAAAATAAGTCATTAT